CACGCATCACAACTCATAAGCAGACACAAGTCATGAACGCGGGCCATGAAGAAATCCCCAGCAAAGGAAAGGGTCAAACATCAGCTTATTACTATTTGACACTGGAGAACCGACACAAGGGAGAGTCCACAAAATCACCCTACACAAAGGAAATGTTTAAATTGGAGTTCAATTAGCCCCATCAAGGACATTATTGAAAGAGGTCTGTGCAAAAGATGAATCTGGCCCCTAAACTCTGAAGAAAAAACACATGAGCAGACAGTTCTCCATTGCATGGGGTTAAGTTAATGGAACAAAGATGATTTGAACCATTAGTTACGTCTCGGGTAATAGTTTCAGGGAAGAACAACGTGATTCAACTTGAGAGAGGAGCAACTCCAACAAAGTTAAAATACAATAAAACTGAGAGAAGATAAAAGATTACAAAGCTTCATGTTTCACTTGAAACCAGCAGAAAGAAAACTACGTTTTTAACTATTTATCTAATACCAACTGTGGTGTATCGCTGAAGACAATGCTTTTTCTTAGAAACCTAATACAGTAGCTAGGATTACAATTCCACATGGATAGACTGTAACTTCTTATTTCTCTGTAGTACAGTTGCATCACCTAGTGGACAATACAGAGATTGTTACAGTAGTTTTACACAGTTTAGTTCGGAGTTCATCGAGTATCTTGGCTTTACCACTGGATATAGCTCATTGCAGTGCTTTCTAAAACTTAATTCCGGAATTATAGATATCCACTAAAATATTCAGTGGAATGAATTGGAAATGTATATTCTTCTTTTCACTCCAACCTGCAACAGACTGATGCCACCTAAGCTTTGTCTGATAGGATAAAATCAAGTCCTACTAGTTGAATTCAGTCACTGAGCTGATTTCCCTGCTTTTGTGCTGAAATGATAAAAATCATTAATTTCACATGGTTCAAAACCAATTGTTAGTCCAAATTTAGGGAAAATTTGTAAATCTTTTAGCAACTTTAGTTCATATTTATTGCGTAAATTCCCATAAATTTATTTTTGGACTATTTCCCTCTGTCCTAGAGTTCATCTCCATCTTTGTAGTCACAGATGCACAGAGTGCAAACAGACACTTCAAGTGATGCCCAAGTGTGGCATTTTTAAAGGGGTATTCTTTACCTTCTAGGTGGGGAGGGGCTATATACCCTGGGAGACATCATTTTTAAAAGCTCTTTCTTCGAGAATGTCATCTTTGAAATGTTTTCATAGTGTACCTAAAAGCTTTAATTATCAGGGTATGAGAGTTGATACTCCCTTATCTTGTCCTGAAACAGACAGGTCTAAAGGCACTTAGCAATGATGGATGATCTCCACACATCACAGCTGAAGAAAACTATAAACTAGAAGCCACTCTCTGTAGAAGATCAAAGAAAATCCATGCCGTATTTACATAAATTGACACAGGAAAGATACTGTTGTGAGGTTTCATGTTTATAATTTTTCAGTGACTTCAGACTGCACTAAATCAATTCCCCCACTCAAAAAAAAAAAAAAAAAAATCAAGTTGTGCTATTTCTGTCTCACGCTTTTACTACAAGAAGTAAAGCTTCTCTCATTACACCTACCCAAACCCAGTGGTTTCACTGCAGTCACAGAACGCATCCCCACTTTAGCTCTCTTTGAGCAACACTGCACAAGCTGGAAGAGAATCTAACTCACCACCACGGTCTGTACCAGGTTTGTGTTGCTAATGGTAAAAAGCTGGGGGGGTTTTCCTACCATTACTGAGATTTGCAGATACAATCCAAAAGGAAACTCATACAAAGAGGGAAATAAAGTATGTCTTTCCACACTAAGATCACAGCTAAATCCCTTCTAAGGGTAACAGAGAGCCAGAGCCAAATGTTAACAGCACGTCACTGAAGCCAAGTGATTAAGATGTTTGCAGCTCAAAGGGCCTCTAGTTAAAGCAGAGGCTGACAGTAAGCGTCTTCACTCTTTGAAAACATGATTTAGTGTTCCGTAAGACAGCTGGAGAGCACTCCCAGCACAGTCAGTTCCTCAGGCACCCTAGCTCTAAGCCCAGCTTAGGATGCGCTGTCTTGCACATAGTTTAGGTTTGATTCAAAAAAAGAAATTTTTTTTGCTGACTAGGCATATATATATATACACATAAATACATATATACATATATATACACATAAATGCTGACTCATGACCTGTGTCACGCTGGTTTATTCCTGTTAAAAATCCATTGCTATTGATGCATGTTACAAAAGCACTAGTTCCAGTTTATTCAGGCAGGATTTTGCCTTTGACATTAAACACACATGGCTCTATTCAGAACACTTGCTACAGTGCTTAAGGTAAAGCTGGGGGCTTACTGCCCTGCTTACAGGCAAGAAACAGACAAGCAATTCATACTGTCTACCCTCCTGCACTGCCACGTCCTCTTCCTGCACTCCCTGGAGGGTGTGTAGGAGCCACAGAAGCAGAGCCCGTATTCAAACCACCTGGTATAAATGCGTGGTCTATAGTGCAATACTGAAGTAAATAAACCGCTGTCAAACTAGTATCCATCCTGCAGGACACAGGGTACAGAAGTTTTGTAAAGTTCTTAGAATTGCCACCTACAGAAAGGAAGAAAAAACAAACAAATAAACAAACATCCTTATCTGCATCTGCTTTAACTCTGGTACCATCTCAGTATATAATTATAAAATGAGAAACACATCTGTTCTTAGAGAATGAAAAAAGTTTTTCTTAAAAGAAAGTAAGAGGTCAAACAGTTCAACTGTAATCATCAAAACTGCAGGAGCTGTTCAAAGCAAGGATCCCTCTAGCCCCGTTCCCTTTTTCCCCACAGTGTCCACCGACACCTTAAAAGAGCAAGCACAGGTCGAGCACGTACAATACTTGCCATCAATACCCTCACAACCTTCAAGTATTTTGAGATCAGGGGACTGAGTAAGATGGCTGGTAACCGCCAACAGCTCTGCCTTCCACATACATGTGCTCTGCACCCGTGACAACTTTTCTCTCTGTATTCCTGAGTAACATCAATGGGTTGGTTACCACATTCTGTTAGTTTTGAATCTGACTTTTTTAAGCTTCCTTTGAAAGCTTGCTTCCTTCTTGCATTGTGAACGCTCAGTCCTCATCCACCCTCTTCATGTCATCCATGACTTCTGTAGACCTTTTTGCAGCCCTAATCAAAATGAACGGGCAACAGTGACAGGGTCAGGGTCTCAGCCCCGCTACCCCTGCTGCAGCCAGGTTCAGTGGTACAGAAGGACCCTTACGCAAGCTGATGAGAATTGCCCTCAGTGCGATCAGTAGAGATTGCGTTCCCAAATCCAGTCATCTCATCCCAGGAGATACCTCAGAATAGGACTGACCGGAGTATAAAATATGGTGCCAAGTGACTTGCAGGGGTTAAAACCAGAGTTTAGGCAAATGTGAAATTAAGTTGACCCAAAGGATGTAACAAATGTGCTTCTAGCTCCAGAAAGCACTTCAGTTCCAACCCATTCAACCTGCCCTCTGCTCTGAAATGTAACGTAACCACACACTGTCAGCATCTCCGTATGAATGGCACAGAAAGCCTGAGCATACAAAAGTTTCAGTGCATTAGAGTCAACAAGGCAGAAAATACCTTATTTTCAGAATTTCCTAATCCTAGGAAGAGGTTATGAAGATGGCACCTCAAACCCAAGAACTTTTGCTTTTGGAAACTGAGTAATAGCAAAGTTACACTTCTCAGTTCCCCCCATCTTTTGAACCTAATCCAACATTTCCTTCTAGGTAAGGAAAGGCCCTTCTCAGAGTTCCAGGTATCAAGACATTTCCCGTCCCAATGTCGTGGTTTAACCCCAGCCGGCAACCATGCAGCACACAGCCGCTCACTTATTCTCCCCCCGGTGGGATGGGGGAGAGAATAAGAAGAGTGTAAGTGAGAAAACTTGTCAATAAGTAAAGCAAAAGCCGCGCAGGCAAAGCAAAGCAAAACAGGCATTCATTCCCCGCTTCCCATGGGTAGGCAGGTTTCAGCCATGTCCAGGAAAGCAGGGCTCCATCATGTGACTTGGGAAGACAAATGCCGTAACTCCGAATGTCCCCCCTCATTCTTTCTTCTTCCCTCAGCCCTATATGCTGAGCATGACTACCCCCCCTGCCCCACAACCTCCTGTGCACCCCCAGCGCCCCACCGGCAGGGTGCTATGAGGAGCAGAATATGCCTTGACTCTGCGTAAACACTGCTCAGCAGTAACTAAAACATCCCTGTATTATCAACACTGTTTTCAGCATAAACCCAGAACAAAACCCCATACTAGCTACTATGAAGAAAATGAACTCTACCCCAGACAAAACCAGCACACCCAAATAGACCCACGCAGAAAAAGAAAGCAGGGAAAACCCCTGGAATCCTCAAATCCAGGCAAGTTTACACAGTAACATTCTCGTTCACAAGCTACAAAGAAAGTCTGAAAGTGCATTTGAGCTCAATACTTAAAAGTTTTCACTTGATGTATTTTTTTCTTTAAAGTATATCATTAGCTAGAATGCCTTTAATGTATACAATTTCATTTATTTCAAAAATAGAGTAGTCTTGTAGAAAATGACCCAATATATTTACAAAAATAAACACTTTTAAAAAACACAGTTCTTAAAAAAATACTAGAAACAGTAATGAAAAATTCTATGACATGGGATTCCTCACAAAATATTAAATAATCACAGTGTAACCACAATTATAAATGAAATTTATACAGCTTAAATAAGGGTCCTGCCCTAAAATGCCCTTTGAAGAAGTGTCTCTTCTCTAAACAACACACGGAGCTCAAATACACACTGAGGAGTATCTGCTTGACCCTATGATCCATGCTTTAGCCATACAGGCAGCTGGTAAAAGCCTAGGACTGCTGGAGCCCACAATTCTGGTGCTGCTCAAATTATTCCAGAAGCTGTTTTGCTCATAGCAGTGTGATTTGGATGAGATGTGATGAAAGCCGCCTGTGGTGCCCCCCAGCACTTGGGCTCACCTTTTGTATTACTGAAGAAGGTCAGCAAAGAACAAAATAAGACTCTGGGTCCTGTGTGACCCTGTAAACAAAACTAGGCATATTCTGATGACCTTTTACATTATTCTTTGCTGCTTAGGTCCATTAAAACAGCTGAGCAAGGCACATCCATGGCAAATGAGCTCCAAGCAGCCACAGCCATCACAGCTTCAGATGGGTCAAGTTGTTGCCATATTCAAGTTGCAAAGAATCTCAGCTGACTTTTGTAGTATCTTCAGATCCTCCAAATGTAGTGCCTCTACCAAAGCCAGGTGTTTTTTGAGGTTCTCTTTGTTCCTTTTCAACTGGGAAATCTGAAGTTTATACAAATGGGATTAAATTACTAAAAATTCAGATTATTTAATATAGGACACGAACATAAAATTTTTGTAAAGCTCCTCTGTGGTACAGATTCCATGAACTACATCAAAGTACAGTATTTTTTTTAACCTTCCACAAGAGAAACTGTAATAGTCAAAGAAAAAAATAAAAAAAGAGAAGAAGAAAAAAAGGAAAAAAAATGGATAGAAAGCAGACCAAAAACAAGGAGGTGAAGGGAAGGGAAATGTTTACCTGGTATCAGGCTCCTAATTCCACACTATGCTCAAGATGTTGCTCAAGACCAGATTCACCTCATACTCTGTGCATGTAAGTGTTTCCTTTGCAAAAGTGTGGTTTTAATAACCCTTTCCATGATAGCTATCCAACTTGACATTAAATACACATGTTGTTTGCCAAAGTTCAGAAAGGAAGGAGAGAAAGTTTTTGTAAGAGTACAGACCTCCCTCACAGGACACTGGCTGATATCAGTAGCTCGTTTGACTTGACTGGCTTTAATGAACACAGCTTTCGCTTTCTGCAACAAGGCACTTGTGGCAGGTCTGCAACATCTTATGGGCCCACCTCATACAAGACAGCATTTTCTTTTAAGAGGTAACCTCAACAAACACATTAATACTGTAAGCAGAGCAAAGTTAAACACTTTTCCCTTGTTTACACGGCTTCATGTAAGCTTTGTAACATGCCTCCCTTCTTTGCTGCAGCCACAAATTCTGCTGAGCAATTAGTGCCATCAGTCACCCTGGAAACAAATCCTACACTGCCCCAGTGTAGTCTGTTCCTTCCGTCACTCTGCTCTCACCCCAGAAAATTACACTGCTGTACATTTATGCTAGGAGAGAACGAAATCTGGGCTACTTTGTTCTTCCAGTCAAATTACCTGAAGAAGGACATGCTGTGTCTCCTCTATTAAAAAATGGCATATTTTTGCTGTTACAGTCAAAGCCTGCTGTTCGTTTCTGGCTGAAATTACATCACCAAGCAGAGTTCTCCTCCAGCAAGTACTAAAAGAAAAACATTTGAACAACACACAATCATTTGCTGTATCCCCCAACTGAATGACAAGCATACGGTCATGCTAAAAATAACACCACTGGCATAAGGCGAGTATGGTCATCATATACGGAAAAGGCACAAGGCTTTCAGATACAAGACTGATAAGGCAAGCAAAAAGAGAAGGAGGGATTTAATGGTCTGGAGCAGAACTTTCAAGCCTCCACCCCTACCCTTACAGCCAAAGCGACAGTCTGCACTTAGACCAACGCTTCCAGTCTTCACTGCTCTGCCTTGCTGCCACCAAGTTCAGCAGCACCAGTGAGGAGTAAAAGCTATTCACTCAGAACTTACTAGCACGGCTTCCACTAAACCTCACCTCACATACTGACAAATTTCATGGGCTTGAAACCAATACCACAGGGATTTACTTTTAGTTTTTATAATCAACTTATTCCACTCAGCAACAAATCTTCTACGCATAAACAGCTTCAAACAAGAGAAAACTTTTTTTATTGTTATAATTTACTGTTACAAGCAAAGCCCAGGTAACCATTTTCTATTAATGCTGTTTAAAGCAAATTTGCCATTTGGAACGAATGTTTAAAACTGCGCTGACAGTCAGTGGAGATGAAGTTCAGTGATTTATTTGGTCCTAGAATTTCAGAAGCAGCCTGTGGAACACATGCTTCAAAGAAATCAAACAAAGTCAATAGCATTTAAAAGTCCCATCAAACCAACAGGAAAAAGGTCTGCAGTCTGAACCTTAAAGTATTATCTCGTTCTCAAAATAGAAAGGGAAAACAACGGGGTGTATCTAGCGTGTAATACAAGAAAGTAAAAGACCAAAGCACCAAATAAGCAGTGACTTTACATTATATGGTGTTCTTTGCTTTTCCTCTATGCACTTCTCAGCTGGAGTCAATGAGATAGACACAGGAAATCCAAATTGTCCCAGTGTCTCGCAAACAGCCAGCAAAGAGTAAATAAAGGAAAATGTCACATGCATATTGTCTAAATATTCAAAAAGTACTGAAACTTACAATTCATCTACTCCAAGACTTAACAACTTGAGGGCTGTGAGGAGTCTCCAAGATGGTCCATCCCATCCAAAGGTCAGGTTCCTAAAACGTCAGAAGTGATGAGATCCAGAAAGTACAGGTGATCTTTTACAGCATGACAGCTTCCTTCCTGACAAGTGTCAACCAGGGAAGATCTGCTGTTTGCAACTAGAGGACTCCCCTTACTCTGCTTCCTTCCACAGCTAGGAGACAGTCTGGACCTTGAAACCTATCTCAAGTTTAGATATTGGTGTTTACCACTTCCACCTTCTCCCAGAGACAGCAAGCAAATCAGTTTGTTAAATAAAACAAAGAATTATTTTATGCTGGATTTTGATACCAGAAGCAAATTTGGCTCTCAAAAAAACCGAAATGAAAGCTCACATGGAAACAAAAAACTTGAGTAGATACCTACTCTAAGAAACCATGATCCTTTAGAATGGAAATTTTTGCATTTCTCTGCTTGTCCAGTGGTGGAAAATACATGAGGAGCATATCTGCATAAAAACACATTTTAGGTATTTAAATGGTATGCAGAAGAAACCACAATCCTCAATTCTGAAGTGACATTTCAACCATATTTTTCAAGCAGCTACAGGACAAAGACCAAAACCTGCTACATTTTGATGAACGTTAACATAATAAAAAATGTATCTACTTCTCAAAAGCTGTCAGCAATCTCCAGGACCGTATCCTTATAATGGAAATTATGACTCAAACTAAAGTTATGAACCACTCTCAGCAACTTCAGCTTGTGTGGATCAGGACTTAAATCCTGAAGTTGGAAGCTCTACATACATGCTAGTAAGAATCGCAATTTACAAAAGGAAAAGTTTCCAAAAAACACTCATTTTTAAAACTCCAATCCTAATATTCTATGCAGTTCTAAGTGCTATCAAACTCTATTCCACTTCTTGGAGATGCACACAAATATCTTGATGGCACTTAAAAAAATCACAATGCCTTAATATGCATTGTGCATATTCATATATACATATGTATCCGCAAGTGCATGCACTTCTTCACTATCCTGTAGTTATCCCTTTGTACCCACATCTCCTGTTGAAGACAGATGGCATTAATATGCTCAGATGTTCTGCTCTCTACTATTGTACCTTTCAATGTCAAGACAATCTATATATCCAACCTGATGTGACATAAACACAGCTGTGAGGGTTATTCATGGCAACAAATCCATATTCTAGTAGCAATCGCTGGTTATCATGAGGCCCATAGCAGATAAATACTTCTTCATATTTTTTGCACTGTGAATTTGTCCGAACTTCATAGCTTCTTGTGTGCTCATTAAACGCAGCCTTTACCTTCAAGAAATTAAAAATAAAAAGTTTTACTCTTGGCAGGAAGACAGGGTGAAAAAGGAATCAGACCTTGAATATTAAAACCCAACTGTATTGAGCATTCCTCTAACTGCAATAAAACAGATAGTGTTACAGATGTCTGAAAAGGCAAGCCATTTGGACAATTCCACACCAGGACACCAGGATTACTCTATAAATACTATTATGAGGAAGAATAAACATCAAAACCTTAGTCTGCAGGATGTGCCACCCACTGTGTAGATTTATCACAGAGGCCCCAAATCTGCAAATAAAAGATGGCTTCATGGAGAGCTGGCCACTTTTGTGCTATCTGAGCTCCACGTTGGCACACAGCCCCTGACATAAGGTGGAACTGCTCTATACACTTTCTTAAGGATGCCCACAAGCTTCAGCCAGAGGTGGAAAACAGAGACCACATAACTGGAGATTTGTCTCAGGAGCTGGAGCCTTTCGGGAGAGCAGAGTAGGGTTAAATTCGTAAGTGACTCTCCTCAATAGCTACCCTGAATGCAAATATTATCCAGCCATTCTGGGCTCTCCCCTGTACCTTTGCTACATAAACTGAAACATTTGAATCCTCTTTATTCAACTGCCTTGGGCTGAATAGCAAGCTCCAGGGTATATACAAACCACGAGTACTCAGCCTGTGTGTGTCCTCAATAGACAATTCCCCCACTGTGAGATCTCTCACTGACCTCCAGACAATCCTAATCCATCACATAAATGCATACTGTATTGAGATAGTGCATTCACAAGTAAACTAAGTGATCTATTTTTAGTTTCTTACCTGAACATTTGGACTGTGGTTTAGCAAATCCAAATATGGCGCCAACGCATAAACATCTGGCTCAAGAGAAAAACATTCCTTCTGTGAATGTTTCATGTATATTGTCCTGGTATTAATAGTGCACCAAGCCCACTCTAGAGCACTGTAGTTAAAAATAGTTCCTGTGTTCTCAGCAAACAAAGGTTGCAGGGAAGAGAAAAAAGCTTTGGAAGACACGTACAACTCATGGAGAATCGTTCTCTGCTCCTGTGCCTTCTTTCTTAAAGGTTCAGGAAGAAGGCTTACTACATCATGCTCCAAACAAACAGCGCAAGTGTATGTCTTGGGTAAAATATCAAGATACGGCTTCCACAGAGATTTCTCACCAGCATGCTTCTCTGCTATTAAAAAAGTGCACAGTGCTATCAAAGGAGATACAGGAGGCTTCCATCTATTAGAAAATAAAATAAAAATACCAACATAGCAGATACACAGAGGTGAGATAGGAAACGGATGCAGCAGTATTTTATCTTTCTTCTAGTTCTTTTAAAGGTTATAAATAGCTTCTATTTTAAACTTCTTTGTAGTTCACCTCCAAGTCCTTTTGATGATTTCAAAGGGGCTATAAAAAGCTGGCTCACCTCTTGGGTTGTTTTTTTGTTTTCTGGGGAGGGGGAGAGAAGTTTAGGATATGTAACAAGTACTCAACGTCCAGCATAAGGCTTTGTTTGGAATTTTCTAAAAGGCCATGTTCATGTGACTGCTTTGTAACCCCATTTGATCCCCTTTCTCCTATTGAAGCATATTCACAAATTCCCAAGAAACCATTCATAACTGGCATTTAGGTCCAAGCTGGCTCTAGAGGCAGGTCCAGTTCAAGCCTGTAACATCCCTGCAGCTCTGCCCAGCTAAAAGGGGATGCTCTGTGTGCAAGCCTTACTCATCTGAGCATTCCACGTGCATGAAAGTTCACAAGAAATACTCATACAAGTTAGGGTATTCAGTTTAAAGCCCTACCAGCACTTAAGATGATTAATCTACTGATGAGCAACCCACAGGAAAGATCAGCTTGCCCATAAAGCGTCACTTTTCACTTACTTCACAATGTATTCTCCCAAGCAGCTACTAAGGACCGTGCCTGTGGTGAGTAAGCATTTCTCAGGCAGTGAAATAACCAGATCCCCTGCCTTTGAGGGAGAAAAAAAAAACAACAAACCAAAACAAAACAAAAAAAAAACACAACACAAACAAAGAATAGTAAACATCAAGTGTAAATGACTCATCTACTATGTGATTTCTGAACAGAGAGATATTCCCCAGACAACACCAATGTCAGGAAGCAAACAGATGTGATGCTGAACTGGATGGAAACTGGCATGGTTTTAAAACAGTCACAGTCCAGGTGAGGAGGACGATCGCAGTCAGTAGGAACTGTCACCTGCAGAAAGTCAGCTATTCACAGGAAGTTTGGTGTCTGGCTATTCACTTTCTTTGTACTGAGATATATTCTACATCAGATCTCACAAATACCTGAACTTCTGTCAACAGAGCAGTATGCTGTAGGGACAATTTAGGTCATGTCTATTCCTGAACTTGTTTGCCAAGCTGCTGTGTGTGTAAATTAGGTTTCATGCCTGGCTTGAGCCACATCTGTCCACGCCTGTAGGGAGAGAACATGAATCAAGCCAATACTCTCCCCTTCCCATTCCTCTCCCGAGTTTCCCTATCTTGCTCAAGCCCAGTTGAGCCTAGCTCTGATTTCACTCACTGCAGACTCCCAGCACTGTGGAAAACATGAGCCTCTGGCTTCAACTGCTGGCTCTACCCCTAAGCCAGCATGAGAACATACACTGTTCCCCACACATGATTTCTCTGCTGCATCTCCTTCCTCCTTATTGCTATACTCTCTATTTTGTAAAACGCTCTGGGTCTGATTCCCCATTATTTGATACACTATTCTCATACCAGTTCGGAAACTTCTTCAACAAGCCTGTTTTCTGAGAAGCACTTTTCAGTAAGAGTTCAGTCTTTCTGTGCCAATATCTGAAGGGTGGGGTATTTTTTTCTACCTTTTCTTCTGGGAATGACAGAAATTATGATTCCATTAGCTGGTCTACCAACAAAGAAGAGGGCCATCAAAGTGAGGTTAAAGCCATGGTTTCACATTATGGCTAAGACAATCTAAAGCCAAACGCTGCTTAAAGCCTCATTTCTTTCCTCCATCCCCCTTCCTGATATGTCATTCCTCCCTTTGTATCAGCACTGGCCTGACCAAGGTGGCAGATTTCAAGGAGCAAAGCTATCAAAGCTAATAATTTTTTTGAAGAGATAGTTTTCTGTTAGTTTAGCTTCCCAATGCAACTTACCACACAAGTGTAGAAGAATGCTACAGCCATTGCAAAAGAAACCGTGGGAGCCAGTGGCTGAGGGAGAAGGCATACAGGAGGGAAGAGGCCTGCTCCTGGTTTCAGTTAGCCACTGATTGTCTTAAACTGGAACACAAGACTACATACCCTCTGTAAATGAGTACAGGAATGTCTTCATCCTACAAGTTGTCAGGGTATGTAGGATATCGTCTTACGGCTATGTCAACACTGCAAATTTTGGTATTAGGCTAGAAATTACATTCACAACAGGGACCATGAAGACCTTGCCTGGAATTTTGAGCTTTGCTTGTGCAAAAGTCATTACATCTCAAAGAACCTGAGGAGCTCTTGCATTAGAATCAACATTACTAACCTGAAGAGCTTTTGTCGTCATCAGTCCTCTTCCTGTATCTGAAGCAAGAACAAAGAGAATGCTTAAATATATCTATATATGTAAAATACAGAAGACTATGATAAGCTGCAATTAACTAACAGGCCAGCAAGGAAAAGCTCTAAAAGAACATACATCACCTCTTACAAATCATAAAAGCCAATTATGGATTGTTCCAGATATATACCTCCTCTCTTTGTTCTCTGATTCTCTTTTTTCTTTTCAGGACCCTGTGAAAGCCCTTCCCCTGCATCCCCTACACCACTTGCTGTCCAGTTCTAGCAAATACCCAACTTCTTTTCCCCAATTCTTTCTTTAAACACATCTCTCATCACTGACTGCTGTTCTTGGTTTCAGAGTGTTAACTAAACTTTACGATTTCTATTCATAATATTTTTTCTCTGATTCATACTATTCTCTCTACTCTCTCTTTAATAGTATAAAAGTTTTTGAAACATTCAACTACTTAAAGAGAAAAAATAAAAGTATATACCTTCACTGTAAACAGTACTAAGTGAATCACAACTCTAAAATTGTTTACTTTTCTGTATCACTAGATCTGCTGAACTTGTATAGAAGAAAAGGTGAAGACATGATAACAAGGTTAGATTCTGATACTGGAAAAACTTAAGAGATATTACTTTCTTCTTTAAAACTGTGCTACTAACTTAAAATCTTGACTTCTACAAAGAATTTGACATAGGTGTGTATGTTTTGTAGCATACTACAGCATCCTCTTACCAGAGTTTTACACGAAAGCATCTTTATGTAAGAAACAGCTTGCAGTACTTCAGGCCTCCATACTTACTTGTTCACCTTAAATGACATTCATGTGCATTTGCCAGAAGTCCTTAAAGGACTAATGGTAACCGGCTTTTTTTTTTCCTTGATGCCAGCCAGGTTTGTGATTCCAAATGAAAGCAGGAATCTAACATTCTCAGAAGAATGAAATATGTACCACCAATAAATAATTAAAACATTACCCCAGAACTGTGCTGGCCTTAAATTACTGTCTTCAAATCCTCTGTCTTTCAGCCACTTCTTAAGTTTAATGTATTCCAGTTCTTGACTGCAGTTGACTTTAAAAAAAAAAAAAAAGGGTGGGAGGAATTAATGGTATATAATAGCACTCTATAGGAAAATAAAAGAAATTGAAAAATTTTACCCTATGGTAGGAAAAACTGTATTTTGGACATTTTAGTATGGCATAATAGAATAGCAAGAAAAGCTCCCCTTGAACTAGTTTAATAAATTATTGGCCTCTGGGAACTAGCACAACTACAGGAGTTATTCAGCTTATTCAAGGCTCAAAGAATTTAAGAATTATGTAGTACTTCCCATTAGCCAGAAAAGAGAGCTCACAATATTCACCATGCTCTGCTCGGGACTGTAAATCAACGCTAGAATACTTGCATAGAAAACGCTAACATTTACAAATGTTATTTTCAAAGCACAAAGGTGTTTGACAAATATCGGTCACAAAATGCCCCCTTGTCAAACAACTGGTTATTTTATTATTGAGCAGTACTTCCAGTGATAGTACCTCCGTCCATCAAACGCTGCAAGTGTTTTCTTCTTCTCCTTCGACCTGTCCGGCCTCTGCTTTTCTTCATATTAGGAAACAGATTTTTGCCCTATTTAGACAACCTGAACTTAAAAAAAGAAGAAAAGTTACCTAAAAAATATTTAAAGTCCCCCTCAAATACCGCATGTTTCTTTTACCTCAGTAAGAGAAACCAGAGCACTGGCCGTTTAATAAGCTGCCTCTTTAAAATTTAGAAAACCCACTACGAGCAAAGCCCTAAGCAAGGGAGGGCGATGGGGGTGAGGGAGGAGGGGAAGCCCTTCGCCCCCGAGCACCATCTCGCCCACACCACGGCCCCGACCCGCCCGGAGCCCCGGCGCTCCCCCCGCCGCACGGCTTAGGCCTCTCCCGCCTTCCTGGCCTGACAGACACCACCCCGAGAATCGCCCCAGCGAAGCGAACGCCGCTTGGGACCGTCCGCGGCCCCTCGCATTTTAAGGCGGCGCAGAA